TTGTGGGTAATGCAAATTGAGGCCAAACAAATCAGTATGGGGACACTTACAACCCCAATTGGAGGAATCACCCAAACTTCTCCTGGGGTGGAAATCAAGGCAATCAGAATCAATACCGGCCTCAAGCACCTCAACAACAATGTAGACCACCTCAGGGTGAACAACAAGCTAGCCTTGAGGAGATGATGACGAAATTGATGGTCGACCAGCAAACCCTCAATCAGAAATTAATAGCAGATCAACAAACTTTCAATCAGAAAATAATGGCTGATCAGCAGGCTCAAGCCGCAACACTGAGAAATTTGGAGCACCACGTGGGCCGACTTGCCAGAGCCCAGAATACCAGACCAGCAGGAGCTCTTCATAGTGATACTGAGCCTAATCCTAAAGCTTAAGTCAATGCGGTTACCTTGAGAAATGGAAGAGCATTAGAAGAAGTTCCAAAGAAAAAGAAGAATACAGCTCATCCTGAAGGAGAATTAGTTCCCAAGCCAGTTGAGGGGAATGAGAAAGATGATAAAGGACCCGAGCCAGTAATTGAGACTAGGCCACCACCTCCATTTCCACAAAGACTGCAGAAGCAAAAAGATGATGCTAAGTACAAGAAATTCCTAGATATTTTGAGCCAAGTGAGTGTGAATTTGCCTTTGGTGGAAATTTTGGAGGAAATGCCTAAGTATGCAAGGTATCTAAGAGATATTGTGGCCAACAAATGAAGATATGCAGAGTTCGAAACAGTTGCACTTACTGAAGAGTGCAGTGCCAGAGTTTAGTGTAAGCTTCCTCCTAAGTTGAAGGATCTGGGGAGTTTCACAATTCCTTTGTCTCTTGGAAAACAAGAAGTTGGTAGAGCCTTGTGTGATTTAGGGCTAGTATAAATTTGATTCCATCATCTTTGTTCAAGAAACTCGAATTGGGGGTGCTTAGACCTACTACAATCACTTTACAGTTAGCAGATAGGTCACTAGTCATGCCAGAAGGAATTATTGAGGATGTGTTAGTTCGAGTGGGAACGTTTATTCTTCTTGGTGATTTTATTGTTCTTAATTACTAGGCACATGAGGAAGTGCACATTATTTTGGGGCGACCATTCTTAGCTACTGGTGGAGCAATTATTGATGTGAGGGCAGAGAAGTTAAGAATGAGAGTTGACGATGAGGAGGTCACTTTTAATGTGTACAAGGCACTTAAGCTCCCTAAGCATTATGAGGACTTGTGCATGATTACTGTGGTCGAATTGAAGGGAATAGAGCAGAGTCAGTATGTGAATTATAGTGATCCAAATGGGACAACTGAGTTAGAGGAGGTGGTGTTTCTAGCTGAGCGTGTAAAGATGATTGAGAAAAGAGCCAGAGATGAAAGAGGAGACCTTCCGAGAGCGTGCAAAAAGGCTAGACTTCATGGGAGAAAGAAGAAGAGAAAGCGCCCAGCCTGAGTAGAGTAGCAGAGTCGTGTCACGACTATAAATAAGGCGCTTGTTGGGAGGCAACCCAACATGTATATCTTTTATTTATTGATTATTTTTTTTGTGTCAAGTTTTGTGTTGTTTTTATTTTGCAGAGTAGGGGAAGTCTGAGTACCCAAAGTTGAAGCCGAGGAGCATGTTTGAGCTTAAGTGTGGGGTCGTCCCGACCCTTAATATTGAGGATCATGTCCGAGGTAGGCCCGAGAGGGTCTCAGGGAGTATTTCTCACCCTTGTTTTAATATCTTTCTCTGTGATCATGCATCGAGGACTATGCATAATATAAGTGTGGGGGGTGAGGAAACTACCTTTTGAAGTGTAATTGTATAAAACTAATTTTTTTAATTTAGTTTTTCTTTGAGAACTTGTAGTAGACATAGTCTAGGTTTAAAAAAAATACAAAAATAAAAATAAAAATAAAAATAAAAAAAACAAAAATTGAAATTTTTTTTAGAAAAAGTTCAAATTTTTCCCGACGATGGATCTTTTGGACAATTTTCTTGAGGGATAAAGTCCGATTAGAATCACCAAAAAGATTTTTTTTAGGATAGCTAGGTAGTATTCCTTGGTTTTTCTTTGGGCACCGGTTCTTTTCCAAGGATGTAGCTCGAACCGGATACTTTATTTTTTTTAGAAGTAGTTTAGGAAGAAACTGAGTCGCTCTGAGATATTCATTGACATGGTTGATGTTGGCACATTAGGCTATGACATACATCCTGTTTTCCCGTGTATTTTGTTTGAATTGTGAAGCCTAAGTAAAGTAAATAGCCTATTTTGTGACGCCTTTTCTCAGTTGTTTGACTTGTATGCCACATAGTGCAATATTGCTTAAATTTCTCAATTATGTGTGCTTGCTCGACTTGAGAGTTGAACAGAACCGTCTTGATTGAGTCATGTGCAACGTGTGTGTGAGGATTTGTGATTTTCTGTGCTATCCTGTGTAGTCTAGAACTTGCCCCGTGTGTAATTGAAGAGAAATTGTAAGTTGTGCTAATCTAGGAGATGACGTAGGCATTTTCTTGCTTGATCATAGATGTGCTTGTCACATAAGAAAATAGAATTTTCCGTAGCTAGCCCCTTTGAGCCTATAGACCTTTTCTTTGCCAACCACATTACAAGCCATACCCCCATTTTGTTCTTAATTTGGTATTGGTTGAACCTTTACCTCCTAAGGCACTTAGTCGCTAAAAGAAGTAAGGTTAGAGATTGGGGAGTAGCTTTTGAGTGGAACCATGGAAGGGCCCGTTGGTGCACTAAAGTTGAAATCAAAAGTCACTAGCCGATGAACTTTAATGTATGGAGTTTGTGAAGAAAAGGAAAAAAAAGAGATAAAGGAAAAGAAAAATTGCAAGAAAAGAGAAAAAAAATATGATAGTTCAAATAATATAGAAAAACACACACCTCCAATTCTTATTGATTGTGCTAGTGGGAGTATAGAAGTGCTTAATTGAAACAGGACTGTGTTGTATATGGTTTGTGGTAAGTGAATTGGTTAAGAAGAATATGTGTTTGAGTTGTGAGTGTAGTGTATTAAAGTGCTTAGGAGGGTTAGTCACTATTCCTAAATATATCCTACCCGTCCCTTAGCCTATATTACAACCTTAAAAGTCCTAATTGATCCTAGATTTGGCTAGCTTAAATTAGTGGAGATCTACACTACGGGCAAGCTTATGGTACGATCACATGATGCATATGAATTCTTTGTGAGAGTAAGTGAATTTGGTTCAATTGTGTGATGTCCTTAAATTATTTTCAAAAGCAAATTTGAATGTGTGGATTAGTCTATATTCACTCTTTCGGTTGTTGGTGAGGGCACATGATCTCATGAAGGATTGGTAATGTTGTAAACCTTCTTGTTGGGTAAGTGCGTGAGTTGAGATGGCTTAGTGGTTACAAGTTGACTCTTGAGGTCGGGTGGTTGTAAGTAGGTTATTGGAGTGATTGAATTGAATTGTTATACTTGGGCATGCTTAAACGGGAAGAATGTGAAATTTCGTATGTTCACACTTGTGTGCCGGTATTGATCATAGTCAAGGGTATAGTGTGTGGTTAAAAGTTAAAGTGCTCCTCCATAATTGAGACTTGTACGTAGTTGGGGAGTTATTTGATAGTCCCATTGATCGACGACGAGCAAGTGTCTAAGTGTGGGGTGTTGATGTTTAGCTTAAAGCATATATATTTCTATGTATATCGCCTCATATTTTACTTTTGTTTCATGAATTTGGGATGGTAAATGTGATGATTTATATTACTTCGAACTGTTTTTATGTGTAGGAATAATTCGGGAGCAATTGGGGGCGAAATGTGCAAAATTAGAGCCAAAATGAACGAAATCGGGAAACTTGCGAATTTGGGCGCCACCTGTGGTGCCCAGCCCTGCCTGTGGCACCAAAAACAGTAGCTAAAAATATTGGAGCGCCGTGCGGTGACGTGAATTTTCTCCAATTTTTCCCGGGACAAGGTTATTTAGGTCCTAGACCTACCCAACACGTATAAAAGCAAGACTAAACCAATTTTTGGTGGGGGAGACACCACTTTGGAGTAAAAACACACACGGGATCGTGAGGAAGCAGAGAATTCTCAGTTTTCTTCATCTTTTCTAGTATTTTCAATTATTCAAAACTTATGCAATTGTTTGATTACATCATGAGTGGCTAAACACCCATTGTTCTGGGGTTGTGATTTAGCCATGAATATTGTTGTTTAACGTTGACTTAACCTCGATTATAATTCACTAATATATGGTTATTTCTTCAATTCTGTGATTAATTGCTTAATTGTCTGGCCATCAGTTAGGTTCTATTTACTATCTATGGGAAAGCCGTGTTTAGATTAGAGAAGAATTGAAGAGAGCATGATCTTAACCCTTAGGGGGAGCGAATTTGTGGTTAGGATAGGAATATACCTAGTCACCGTGCTTAATTAAATATCGTAATCTTAATGCGTGCTTAATAGATTGATTTCATAGGAATATAGGCATTAATCTATTTTGAATAGGCGAGTAGTACTTCGGGAGAAGGCTATGAGAGAAATTATCGATTAATTAGCAACCATGAGTGAATTGTATGAGAGGGAGAGTTAATTAGAACACAATACGAATGGTGAATCGATCACAACCCTGGAATACTTGTCTCTATTGAATACATAACCAACATTCTACTGCTTGATAATTTAGCTATTACTTAGAATTGTAGTATAGTATAATTAAACTTTTGAACTCGAATTTAGCTTGACGGAATAACAATATTGGTGAGTTAGTGAGTAGTTAATATAAGTATCTGTGGGTTCGACACTCGACTTATCATTTTATTACTTGTACGACCACGTATACTTGCATGTGCGTTTGGGAGTAACACAACATAAGTGCTTTCTCTAGAGAATTGTCTAGATATACACTCGTATCAAGAATTTTCTCATCCCCCCCCCCCATAACAGATATCATCGAGAGCTCCTCATAGTGGCGGGAAGGTTGGATTTCTTTGTAGACATTAAAGACTGCTTCCTCGCCATCCACCCTCAAAATCATTTTTCCTTCTCTCACTTTAATAATTGCATCACCAGTAGCCAAGAGAGGTCGTCCAATATGATTGGAACCGGTTCATCAGCCTCATAATCTAGGATAATGAAGTCCACAGGGAAGATAATTTTCCCAATTTGCAGCGACACATCTTCAATCACTCCCTCAGGGTGTGCTATGGACCTATCAGCCAGTTGCAACATCACATTAGTTGGTCTTGGAGCTCCCAGAACCAATTGCTTGAACAAGGATAAGGGCATGAGATTTATGCTTGCCCCCAAATCACAAAGCGCACGACCCACATCAATATTACCAATTCGTAAAGGGATGGTAAAGCTGCCAGGATCCTTAAGCTTTTGACGAAGCTTGGTTTGGACACTTGAAGTGCACTCCTCAGTAAGTTCAACTGTCTCGAATTCAGTCAATCTCCTCTTGTGAGCCACAATGTCTTTTATGTATTTAGCATACTTTGGTATTTCACGAAGTACATCCACCAATGGAATATTCAGTTGAACCTGGCTCAACATAGAGAGATATTTGCTGAACATACGATCATCATTCTTTTTCTGCAATCTCTGAGGGAAAGGTGGTGGTGGCCTTGCAGTCTCCATTGGTTCTGAACTTGCTTCATCTTTCTTTGACTCGTGTGTTGCTTTAGGAATCAATTCCCCCTCAGGTATAGGCTTGTCCTTTCTCTTCTCTGGCACTTCTTCTAGTTCCCTCCCATTTCTGAGTGTAACTGCATTAACTTGAGGCTTCTTCTCTGTATCGCTGGGGAGAGCGCCTGCAGGTCTAGTATTTTGGTTTGCTGCTAACTGCCCCATTTTCCTCTCAAGATTTCTAAAATCGATCCTGAGTTGTTGATTGTCAAGCAACAACTTCTTCAGCAAGTCATTCGTACTCTCGTCTGTTTGTTTGGGGTGGCTTCTGAGGCTGATTGAAATTTCCTTGGGTCCTATATTGATTTTGATTATGTTGATTTCTGACCCATGAGAAGTTAGGATAATTCCTCCAATTTGGATTTTAAGTGTTCCCGTATTGTGCATGTTGATTCATTGGGCCTCTGCTCTATTGCCCCACATAGTATATAGATTCAGGATTTGTGGGGCACATGTCCCTCATATGACAGTCACCACATAGTTCGCAGCAAATAGACATTTGTTGTACATGTTGCATCAGTTGTTTTTGTTGCACTGTCATTCTATTCATCTGATTTGCCAATTTTGCTATATCGGCTCTCATGGCTGAGAAGTCATCAAGCTCAATCAATCCGGCTGCTTTCTGTTTAATTGCCCTTCGTGAATCCCCATCTCCTTGCCAATAATGATCGTTAGCAGTGAAGTTATTTAGCAAGAGTTAGATTTCACTGTACGGTTTCGCCATGCAACTGCCGCCACAAGCTGAATCAAGATTCATCTTTGATGCATCATCTAGCCCATCAACAAAAGTGTGACCCAACACCTCATCAGTCTGACAATGATGTGGGCAATCTTTGAGTAGCTTCTTGTATCTTTCCCAAGCCTGACGAAGTGTCTCGCCATCCCGTTGTTCGAACCCAAGAATCTGACTCCTTAATGACTTTGTCTTCTTAGTGGGGAAAAACTTGATTAAGAATTTACTTGCTAGATCATCCCAAGTGTGGATTGAGTTTGCGGGCTCATTTTACAACCATTCCTCAGCTTCCCCTAGCAGTGAAAAGGGAAATAATGTCAGCCTAACATAGTCCTTGGAGACGTTCAAATAATTGTAAGTATCCGTAATTTCCAGGAAATTCTGAATGTGCCTCTGCGGTTCTTCATGAGATAGACCACATACTGCCCCGTGGACTGAATCAGCTGTACCATGTACTGTTTGAGTTCAAAATGCCCTGTGATCTCAGGCTTCACAATAGTCCGAGTCATATTAGCAAGATTGGGCCTTGCGGCTTCAATCATCGCAAGCTCTGCATTACCTGCCATCTCTATTGGCTGTGGTTGAACTACGATGTCCAACTTTCCTTCTATTCTAGTTCAAGCTTCGACTACTGTTGCTTCCAAACGCACACGCAAGTATACGTGGTCGACAAGTAATATAATGATAAGTTTAGTGTCGAACCCACGGAGACTTGTGTAAACTACTCACGTAATTACTAAAATTGTTATTCAGTCAAGCTAAAATCAAGGTCCAATAATGTGATTATATTATACTACGATTCTAAGTAATAACTAAATTATCAAGTAACGAATTGATTGTTGTGTATTCAGTAGAGATAAGTATTCCAGGGTTGTGATCGATTCACTAATCGTATTGTGTCCTCATTAACTCTCCCTTTCATATAATTCACTCATGGTTGCTAATTAATCGATAAATGCTCTCATAGCCTTCTCCCGAAGTACTACTCACCTATTCTCAATAGATTAATGCCTATATTCCTATGAAATCAATCTATTAAGAACGCATTAAGATCACGATATTTAATTAAGCACGGTGACTAGGTATATTCCTATCCTAACCACAAATC